ACTCCACATTAGTCATTTGAGGTTTAATTTGTTAACGTGGTGTTGTTGGGGCTTTACGTTGCAGATGATCGAGGTGGTGGCCTCCATGGCCCGAGGCCCCGTGTTTCTCGCCGGGGAGCTCATGGAATGTCTCATAACATTCACCAACCCGATGTCCCACCTCTCCACCTCTGCCAGCAGGTAGGAGTTAACCCCAGCTTTCACCTCTTCACCCATCATACACCTGAACATAGACATTAAGATGCCACTGAGTTTGAAGTGTACTATTAAGATTGCCAGACAAATAATGAGAACTATTAGAAAAGACAAGTGGAAGGAAGATATATCTCATAAACCAATTTTAGAAAGAACACCAATATAAACAAAGACTACTACAGGAAACCACATGTTGAATTTAATGTGCTGTAGATAGGAGACGAAGGTTGTCCTTGGCATTAACAAGAACTGGTACTCCACTATATGTAACTGATGTAGGCAAACATCAGCATTTATGTTATCAAGATCAAAACGAAGGTTGAATTTGAAGACGTGTGTGTCCCGTACAAGGGGGTAGAAGTATGGAAGGGGCCATTTCCCCCAACACATTACGCCCCTGGCCCACTGTTTGACAGCTGTAGTGATCCTATCACAAGATGGTCTCTAGTTCATGATATTAAACTGAATATATATGAGTTAGTTAACTACTGATCAGCCAAGACATTTGAATGAATCAGCGTAGGCTATGAAAAGTGCTTAAAGGCCTTTCTCACTGTCATTTTCTGAAATTTCATGAACCACATAATTATTGATTAATCGAGAGAATAATCTGCATTTTATTTCTTATTGAAGCAGTCGTTAGTTGTAGCTTAAAATATGCACATTTAGAAAGAAAGGTGCTGACTGTATGCTGAGTTTGAGCTTTCATCTTAGTGCTTATGAGCTGAATAATTGTTTAGCTGATAATCAACTATTTTTAGAACATTTTGTTGTTGTTTTTCTCTGTAGTCTTGGTATTGTTGGGGATGCTGATGAGAATTTGTCTTTGTATTTTGGTGCATAATGGTCACAGTGATCTAGGGTTGCACTCATTGTGAAATTCTTTGCTGATATGGATGTTTATAATAACAATTTGGCAGATACCAATGTTTTTATGTTGTTGTTTATTTTGCTTTTGTTGTTATTTACTCGCCCTTTTGTGTCAGGGAAACAAAAAAATCTACACAATAATAATATAACTGAACTGTTTTAAAGTGATTGGATCCTTCGTTACACTACCTTTAAATGAGCACAAATGCAATCATACAAATTTATGAATCAATCTTCAATTTAACCTTTCACATGACAAACATCTTTACAAAATACTGCTTCAGAAGCCTTTTTCACTATATACAATATATCATTGTTCCCCCTCTAATATCTATTTTATATTGCTGTGAAAACATCAACACATTTCCCCCCCAAAATACTGTATTGAATAAACATAGTAAGAAAATAGAAATGCTGCAAAAGTCAAGAATCGTAAACATAAAATAGAGATTTACCATAAACATTGCTTAGCTTACATTTGTAGGCTTTACATCAATTAACATGCAGTGTCTATGAGGCGGGATAAGAGTTTCGCTGTTTATGGGACCTTTGAAATGTTTTCATTTTGAATTTGAAGATCTGTACATCATTATGGCAACACAATCATCTTGGTTGTGGTGTAGTGTCTTGTGACCCCATATGGACTGGGACCATGTGATACAGGCCACATAAATCAATCATTTAATCAATCACTCTGTAGATTTCCCTTTGTAATCTTTGTCTTTTCTGTATGTGTCTCAGTGAGATGCTGGCATGGGCCAGCGCCCAGATCCACTGCCAGTTTCATGCCAGTGAGACCAGAGTGTCCCTGCCGGCCCAGGGCAACAAACAGGACGTCCAGGCTGAGAGCAACACCGTGCTTATTCCAAGCAGTGGTGAGTGTTGGGAGGAAAAATACAATCTGAGATAAGAAGAAATTAAATATGTTTTATTACAACATTTCAAAGGATTTCAGAGGATTTCTGGATATTATTAGCCTCCTTGCTTTGTGTGATATGTCTGGATTTACCTCATCATTAACTCCTGTCCTCTACAGGAGAGCGAGGTCAGTGTGTGCTGGACACACCGCCCAAGATACTATTCTGTGACCTGCGCCTGGACCCTGGCGAGAGCAAAACCTGTACGTGTGTACATATGCATAATTCACAAGCTTGAAATATGTGAAATCTACTTTTTCGGTGACTGTCATAACAACATGACAAATTAATACTGCGTCTAAAAGAAGAAATGAAAACCATAGTGCTTGTCTGAACTCCCTTACCTTATATAGACTTAAATGTTTCATATCTAATTTTTCCCACTAATGGTCATGTAACATTTATAAATGACTATATTTGTTTCTGTCAGTGATTCAAACAGTCTGACCTGCGTACTAACTCTCCCACAGATTCATACAGTGAGATCGTACCCATAGATGGCCCTCCTAGTTTCCGTGGCCAGGCGGTGAAATACGTCTACAAACTGACCATCGGCTGCCAGAGAGTCAACTCGCCTATCAAACTCCTCAGAGTTCCTTTCAGAGTGCTCGTCCTGCAAGGTGAGATTCATTTGGTTAACTTATAATTGCTTGTATTTCGCACTGCAAAGCTTCAAGTGCTCGTCAGGCGTGACACTAGTTGCTATGAAACTATAGAAATATTTTTGTGGTAAATAAAATGTTTTTATTTTGTCTTTTGACTATTGTCACACTGTGACATCTTGAACATTGTTATTTTCCTGTCTGATCTTTAGGCATGCCAGAGCCTCCGTTTCCCCAGGATGAAGAGGTTTCTCCCTCCAACCCATTCCTGGAGGAAGAGGAATCGAGCCGCAGGGATGCTCGGCCTTTGGAGAGAGCTCTGGACATGCTGATGGTCACCACCTCGAGACGCTGTCCCCGTTAGTCAGACTGTGTTGCTGTTTTTCACTGGAGTTTAAAGCATTTTTTAATCCTGTGTTGTCAATGTCAGTTGTTGTTGCTTTTTTATTGTCTTGAAGTTTAATATTTTCAGCAAGAAATAGAACTGTGTTGCCTCACTAGCTTAATTGCTACATCCATATCCTCTTTCAACCTACGTTTGACATTTAAACCTATCATATGGACGCTGAGCACTAAAACAAATGTCAAAAACAAAAAACAAAGTAAAAGAAATGTAAGTTAGACACTAATAGTAACAGTATTCAGCTCTGAATTTTGTGTTTAATGTTCTTTTCTGATCTATATTTTCCACAGTTTTTATTTATTTGTCCACATTTGACTTGTGTGTTGCTTTGTTTCGTCCAGACATGTTTAATATCACCAACATGCGTGGGAAAGTGGCGAAGTTCTGCATCTTTAAGACTGTGTACAGACTCGGGGAGGACATAATCGGCACGTTCAACTTCTCAGAGGGAGACATTCCCTGCCTGCAGGTGTGTTTACTGCTCTTGTCTTTGTACATTGATGCACTTTCTGTTTTGCTTCACATTAGTTTTTAAAATTTAAATAACAATGTCCTGTATATATATGTGTGTTCCAGTATTCGGTGAGCCTTCAGAGTGAGGAGGAGATCCAGCAGCAGTACCAGCGGCGCCCCGGACAGGTCATCAGTGTGACTGGACACGGGCGACACATGGAATCCTGCCTCCACACCGCCTCCAGCCACTTCTCTCTCCCCATCCCCCTCAACGTCACGCCAGGTTTCAGCACAGACATAGGTCAGTCAGTTTTCTGTCTTTTCATCACTGCTACAAATGCAGCCAGTATCTCACTATCACTGTCCTCATTCATATTTTAAGAAGCTACAAATTATATTCAGCCACAAAATAAACCTGAAAAGCTGCATATCAGATCTGAATTACAAAGAGCTGTTGCATAGAGATGATACACCGTCTCATCTTGTTGCATTGGTGTGAACCAGCAGGCTTTTAGAACGTTGCAGAACGGTGCATTGTAAGTAGCTGCCTGTTTCAACTCATCTCATCAGAATCTTTGGTGTGAACTGGGCTTTAGTGGCATCTAGTGGTGAGGTTGTAGATTGCACCCGTCAACTAAACAACCAAAATTTGATCTCTGCCTCTACAGTGATGCTGAGGTGGCGCCTTCACTTTGAATTCGTCACCGCCAGAGAGCCTATGGAGCCGCCCACAGTCCTGCAGAACCAATCAGAGGTCACAGTCTGGGCCGGGGCGGAGAACGTCGACGTGGATACCTTCAGCTGGGATCTGCCGATCAAAGTGCTGCCCACCAACCCGGCCTTGGCATCCTACATGTCCCACTTCACAGGGACCAACAGCATCAACATCTGACTGTTGTGTGTGTGAGAGACTGTCAGTGTAAGACAGCCGAGTTAATGCTGTGTTTCGGAGGGTGTTGACTTTGTGTGTGTTTGTGTGAGTGAGTGTGTGAAGTAGAGACAGAGTCTGTTTTTTCTGTGGAAATGAGAAGTGTTAGCACACAGATGCACATTTCAGGAACAAAGGAGCATTATTTTTGTTGTTTCCGTTGTATATGCAGAGCCAGTAATGGATTCCATATGTATATTATGCAACCTATGTTTTCCCTTTTCCATATGCATATTGCATCTTAACTTTAAATACACCTTTCATTTTGGACCTCATGACGTGCAACTCCCTCTGTGGTTGCTGTGCAATTCTGTATTTATTTCACTTTTTATTCCTTTACTTGTGCACACTTGCTCTTTTTTTATTTCATGACACAAATGTTTCTCACTCAAAATATTTTTACTGTTCAACTATTTTTCTTTGGGCTTTTGCAAAGACTGTATCATGTAAATACTCAAAGAGAAAAATTAATTAAATGTGTGATTTATATTTTGATAGAGTACATGTGAGGATTTATGCCACAAAATCCAACTTTTTTAAAATTGTTTTTATTTGGAGGGTAAATGAGTTACAGCAGAGAACAGGTCAAATTCAACAGGAATCGTTATATATATTAATGTACGTATGTATTTGTTCATATTTACAATAAGTTGTTATTGGATTAATTAAAGAAGCAGACAGACAGCTTACTGTAATAACTAAGCTCAAACATATACTCAAAGTGAAGCTTCATCTAAAGAGTGACGCCTTGATTTCCTAAATTTGTTAATATGGTTCATCATGTGGTGCTCAGTGTTTATAACATCCTCTGCTGCACAACACCGCAGGTTAACTTAAATATATTTCACAGACAGTTTCACTCTACATTGATAATACAATCCAAAATATGCTGTTAATTGTTTGTGTATAAAGTGGTTATTAAACTATAGTGAGTATTGGTTTCACAGGCCAACAGGTTGATCAGATAGGCGCTGGTCTGAGCAGGTTTCTACCCGTCCAGTTGTTGCTGCTGCAGCTGAAGTGATCCATGGCTCGGGTCCTGGAGGTCCTGGCCTGGGGAGCAGGGCAGGCGGGGGTCGGCTGTCTGGACCAGGGACACTTTGCAGGTCACTGGCTCCACCCGCACCTCACACCACGCGGGGAAATCCACCGGTCGATGCACCCTGGACAGATTCAAGGTAAAGAGTGTTTTTTTGCAGTTTCTCAAGGACTATTGTGGCTTAAAAACTCTTTCTTTGTCATGTGGACTTTAAACTCCTAACACTGGTGGAGGTTGCAGATCATGATTGATTTTCTAAGACACTGAAGTCCTAAAAAACATTTTCAAAGAAACAGGCCTGAACAAAAGCAGCTAAAATGGTCTTGAACTTTTAATGCAAGTGGTGCAAAGTACATTTACTCAAGCAGTGTACTGAAGTAAAGATCTGAGGTACTTGTACCTTAATTATTTCCCTCCATTTAATGCTACTTTATACTTACACTCTACTACTTTTCAGATAATTTCATCCCACAGTATTTAAACATAAAATTTCAGAAACCTTGTTAAAAAAAAAAAAAAAAGGTTCCTAATGGGAGTAATGAACCGGAGAAGTTTCACAGTCGGATTTTTATAAAATATATCTTAAAAGGCTGTTTCTCAAATGATTTACTCTCATACTCCAAGCTAGAAATTCCCTCTTCAGTCACACTTATAAATACCAGACTTTACAGTTTTATTCCTATCTATATTCTGAAGGTTTTTTCAGAGGGGTTTATTCATACATCATTCATAGCCTGAATTATAGAACATTTATTCTTTTTATTTATTATATACTTATGAAGGTATAAAATTTGATTACAGAATATGATATATAATTATTAATTTATCCTGAAACATCCAAAACCACAATAAAGAGTTCCACTCAGTCTCAGATGAACTACAACACTGAAATACTGTTTTCATCAGTAGCATAGATTTATTTATTTTTTACTTTTTCTCTGTTTTGTTGTTTATTTTTCACCTGAAGTTGAGTGGAGGTCCGTTGCATAAGCCTGTTTTTTACCTCCCCTGACACATTTCTTAGTTTTGTAATTGTCTGGATTTTATGGAGTTTTATTTGTGTGCAAATAAAATGAATAAATAACATATAAAAATGGTAAATAAAAAAAGTAATAAGACAACAATATAAAAACACTCTGAGGCAGCTGCAGTTTAACAGTTGTAATTTAGTCATTTTTTTAAATAGTCATTAATTGTGGTTTTCATCAAACTAGGACTGCAACATTTCCTTATTGAGCTGTTTCATTACTTTAATTTGATTAATTTCTCAATTAACTGATAGTCGTTTAATGGCAAGAATGTCAAAAAACGATGAACAATGTTTTCCCATTCTACATTATTTTCCTTTACTACCTAAAGGTGTATTTTGTTGGTGGTACTTAAGTAAAACTTTGAATCCAGGACCTGTAACAGTATTTTTTAAATCACAGTATCGCTACATTTACTCAGGTAAAGAGCCTGAATACTTTAACAGTGCCGAGCAGTAACTGTGTTCATCTGGACGCCAAACCACACATGTTGTTTGTGTACTCACGTCTCGCAGCAACCGACGCCAACAGGGTGCAGACAGGTGCACTGCATACAGGCGTTGTCCATCCAGGTTTCCCCCAGTGAGAAGTGCCTCCCCTCGAACACACACAGCGCTGGAACAACACATGGCAGTAGATAATCAACTCAGACAGAATATATATTTCATTTTAAAGTCAAGATAAGATTTGAGAGCGTGTGAGCTCACCTTTGGAGTTGAAGTGGCACTCCATGGGTGCTGCAGACGCACAACTGGTCCACAGAAGAAACCCTGCAGCTGCAAGCACCCAGTGAACCCCGGCAAGCTCCATCTTCATCTGGTCCTTTCAGCTTCTGGTTCCTCTTCTGTCTTTGCTCTCTTATTTATACATCCCGGGGCTTTACGACTGTGGCGTGGAGGTGTGGTCAACGCCATCATGTGGCCCACAGGCCTGGCTGAAGAAGGTGTCAACGGTGCCATCCGTTGGGGAACAAGGAGGTGGTGGTTTGTGTGTGTTTGTGGGTGGGGGGTAAAGATCTTGGCGCTGTTTTGGCACTCTGGAGATCACCTCGCTGCGCTTCAGCGGGCATGAACCTCTAAAGTGATAGAAACAATGACACATCCATGCGGTGACTAAGAGAGGGAAGGAGGTGAGGTGGAGGGCAGGGAGGGAGAGAGGTGACGTCCAAGGAGAGAAGGAGGGACGGGATGGAATTATCAAACATGATTCATCACCATTCAACCTCTCATATGGTTTTTGTCGGCCAGGTCGCTGTCCAGAAACTGAAGACTTGACTAATGCACATGTCAAACACATGCCTAGATACTGACCTATTGAAATTAATACATTAAACTTTAAGTCAAAGAGCTTCAGATGATCTACCAGGGTGATAAACTAAAGGACAATACCGAATACATTAGTGGGGAAACATGTAGATGCTTTCATTCAGGGCACAAGGAGACGCCAATGATGTGAATGTAATGGCCTAACAATCACCAGATTTAACACCTGTGAGAGATGTTTGACCAGTGTCTCTACCACCATCATCAAAACACTAAATGAGGGAATTTCTTTTGGAAGAATGTTGTAAAAATGGCGGTTTAAGTTCACTTTAAAACATAAATTTTTGGTTATTAATTGTATTGTTTATGTCCATTTTAGTAAGTAAATAAGAAAAGATTTTATGCCTCCACGCTGGCGATTATGGTATTATGGAATATTATGCCTTCAGGGTGACTGTACATCCACATGTCCCATCCTTGCGGACACGATATCTCAAGAATGTCTCAAGGGAATTTTTGTCAGATTTGGCACAATAGTCCACTTAGAGTCAATGATGAACTGATTAGTTTTTGGTGTCAAAGGTCACAGTCACTGTGACCTTATCTGTCTCATTCTCATGAATGTGATGTTTCAAGAACACGCTGAGGGAATTTCTTCAAACTTGGAAGGAAGGTTGACTCATACCCCAGGATAAACTGGTCAAGAGTCAGTGGTCAAGGGTGCTGTGACCTTGTATCCATCACATTCCTGTGAACATGATATCTCAAGAACAGCTTGAGGGAATTTCTTCAGATTCGGCATAAATGTCTTGGACTTGGACTCAACGATGAACTGATTAGTTTTCATACGTCAAAGGTTATGGTCACTGTGACCTTGTCTGTCTCAAAGTTGTGAATATGATATCTCAAGAAGGCCTTGAAGAAATTTCTTCAAATTTGGCACAAACATTCACACAGACTCACGGATGAACTGGTTAGATTTTGGTGGTCAAGAGTCCAAGCTCAAGGGTGCTGTGACCTTGCATCCATGTCATTCCCCTGAACGCAATATCTCAAGAGCACCTTGAGGGAATTTCTTCAGATTCGGCATAAATGTCCACTTGGACTAAATGATGAACTGATTAGTTTTCATAGGTCAAAGGTTATGGTCGCTGTGACCCTATGTGTCTCCCTCTTGTGAACATGATATAGCAAGAGCGCCTTGAAGGAAATTCATCAAATTTGGCACAAACATTCACTTAGATTTGAGGATGAACAGATTAGATTTGGTGGTCAAGGGCCAAAGGTCAAGGTAGCTGTGGCCTAGCATCCATGTTATTATTATGTACGCAGTATATCAAGAACACCTTGAGAGAATTTCTTCAAATTTGGCATAAGTGTTCAATTGGACTAAATGATGAAGTGATTAGATTTTGGTGGTCAAAGGTCAAGGTCAGTGTGACCTTGCATCTGTCTCATTCTTGTGAATGAAATATCTCAAGAACACCTTAAAGGAATTTATTTATAGTGCAACTATTTTCTTTCTGCGGAATTACACCTGCCAACGAAATCACCGTGCAGAAGGAGGGGTGCATCTACTCATGGACAAGAGGCTTGTGCTTTGACAGCATGAGATGTAAACATTAATGGTGTCCTCCTGGGCTGAGCTGTAACGTTAGCTAGCTCAGTGATGCTATGTGAGCTAGCAGTAGATGCACGCTTCCTTCTTCAATATTGGCCAATATCTCCAACACTCAGCAACTCACACCGAAACAATCCAAATGGATAAATAGCACTAACTGGTAAGAGGAACAATATGTATTTTTGATTTGAGGGGTGAACTGTCCCTTTAATACATGTTTGCCAGTATTTTTATTATAGCTATTTTTTCACAAAAGCTCATTCATAAAATTCTGTGTTCTTGTTTACGTAATTTGAAATATATCCTTGATCTTAACATCCACTGGACTCTAGTTTACTGTGTGCTGTGCAGGCGTGTGCATCTCTGTGTAACTATACAAATATAAACTGTGATCTGACCTGATGATACAGCGCAGTGTCTCTGCCTGAGCCAACAAAACATTAGCTCATCTTCTTCCAGTTGTTTGCTGTCTGCAGCATGAGGTGCGAGATCATAGGAAAAATCCTCTCAAGCCTCTAACAGGAGGCCCCGGGGTCTCGTAGCGTGGTGTTTTACATGCGTTTTCTCTTGTATCCCACAGTAGTCGGAGAGTGTTTATAGGTTTCCCTCATCAGTCGGGGGTGCTTCTTCATTCATTCGATTAGTATGACTCACAGTTGCCTCTCTCAGGCTGTACATTGTTTCTATAGAGACGTGTTGCAGTTCATGTACTGTTGTCAACATCATGAGCTACATACAGGTTACAGTAACTATTAATAACACCTGATAATATTAGAGATGGGCTGAGCATGTCAGAGGTCAGTTTCATCCTTCACTTGATTTCACTCAGATGCTGTTTCAGAGGATGGAGGATGTTTTCATGTTAGATGTTCTTCCATAAGTTCACCTTGGGTGGTGCTGCTGACCTCCTCGGAGCCTGTGGGTCCCGTACGATACACTGACAATGAGTTCACACCCTGATTTGACAACCGGGTGTCGTCAGTGTTGAGGAACAGGGAGGACCTCAGCAAAACAAAAGATGAGGATTTTCCTGTCACACGCCTGTTGCTCTTCATGGATGTGCACTTAATTGGGGATAAGTGTGTTTTAATTGGGGAGAACTTTCTGTTTGAAAGGTCAAGGCTGTCATCATGTTTGGTAACAGGACTGTTTTTGTCAAGACTTCTTTATAGTCAATACATTTCTTCCATATAGACAAACTGCGCCCAAAGAGGCCGGTATACACATGCTGTAGAAACGGACTCTTTAAGAAAAGAAATCTACATATTTCTAAAACTGTATGTTGATTTCAGCAAGTAATTAATCATACATATACATAGTACAATGCAATTTTTAAGAGTTTGCCTAGTTCACATTAAAGTGCTTTGCATCAAATCACACTGTATTTTCTTTCATTTTAATGGAGAACAGGGTATTGTGTTTCTCTGATACCATACAAATCTCCATGTCTGATAGCCTTTTGATAAATAAACAAAAACTCCATCTAGTTTTTGCCAAAAGTTCAACTGAAACAAAAGAAATGTTGTTACAAAAGAGCATACATAATTCTTTGCCTCCTCTTTGAAGTTTTACAAACAACATTTGCAAAGTCTCTGGCAGCAGCACACAGAATTAAGAAATTAGTCACAAGTCATTTTTTAACACATTAATTTCCAAATTGAAAATAGTTAAACCCTTATAGGTGTTACATCCATACTTTATTAATACCTTTCATTGCTACCCTTAATAAACATGTTTACACAACTGCATGTTGATTTACTTCACAAGAATTATCACCAAAACACAGAGTAGTTTTTAACTGTCTGATTTGAAGTTTTGACTCAGTTATATAGGTATGTAAACACATGGACAGAAGAAATATGGATATTTAAAAGTAAAGGTGCTCATAAAATGTAACATAATAATTTCATTTTAAGGGAAAAAAACAACAGTTCATAATAGTGTATGCTGTATGCCCATGTGAGCTCAACAAATATATTATTTTTATGATGAAAGAAAACTACACAAACTTTGCATCGTGAACAGAAACTCAATGTCTACTTACTAGCTTTTTCCAGAGCTTTCATAGGAGTTTGTCACTGAGGTGGCTCTTTTTGCATTCAGTAGCTGTTATGATTTCATCTATTGCACTTTTATGGCAGCAGATACAATCTCCATTACAACCGAGCAAACAAAATCTGCTGATGAAGACTGTCTGATATCCTTAATATAACAGCAAGTCAACCATGATTTGGATTTGTTTGTCAAAAAATAACACTTGTTTTGACTTTGGTGACAGCCCATTAAGTACAGTAAAATAAATAAATCACTGAAAGTTTTTTAATGGCTTTATTAAATATTTAAAAACCCACTAAACACATATTATTCCTTTTAGTAGAAAAGATTGCATTATAGTACAATGTTTTTAAGAACATGACATAAAACAAGCCTTTATTGATCTTCAGAGGGAAAACGGAATATGTACAGATAAATAAAAAGAGAAAAAAAGAAAAGGACCTGTATATATACCATACTATGATAATGTAATATAATATAACATATAATATAATATACTAGAATTTGTTTTTTACTTTTTTAATATGTTTCACTATGATATACTATACCATAATATAATATAATATATAAAATAATAAAATATTTAAATATAATATAACATTTCAAATTGCCCAAATATATACTAAATTATAATTTAAACTAATTGAATTTAGTTTAGTTTAGTTTAGTTTAATCCAATTTAATTTTAACATAAGTTTTATTTCATTTTTATTTTATTTTATTTTAATAATATGAAATTAATAATTGAATTAATAATATATTAATTCTAATATAACATGATACTCTTTGTTGTACTGTCCCTTTAACAAGCATGCCGTAAACCCCGCCCCTTTATGTACTTCCTCCTCGGTCCGACCAGGCCTGACAAATCAACACAC